CCAGCTGCGCTGGGGAAGTGCCGGCTGGGGGCGCAGGGTCTGGGGGCTGCCCAGGAAACCGTGATGCTGGTAGCACTGGGGCAGCCCTTTCCCCCTGGCTGGGAGTGGGAGGGAGGAGGGGGCGGAGTTAGGGTGGGGAAGGGGTGGAGTTGGGGCGGGGCTAGGGGTGGGGATATGGGCGGGGCCATGGCCCGTGGAGGGTCCTCTTTTTTTATTTATGAGATATGGTAACCCTATGCTTGTACTTTGTTTTTATTTCTCTCTGGCAGCCTCAATAAAACTCAGCAACAGAATTATCATGACCAAGATATAGGCCATCTTTACAGCACTGTCTGTTTGAGTTTGTCATTAGTGACAGGGTGGATAATTCTCAGGTCCGAATCATGACAGAAAGGAAACAATAAAACATGCGCCTGTTTGACCCCATTAGACATACAATGTGCTCCTATGATGATGACAGTTTCTGTATAACATACTCCTCCAAGTGTAGATCTACACAGCCAAGCAGCGAGAGGGAGACCCTGGCACACATTTATGTAGCATTTGTCAGGCTGTAGCCCCTTTTTTCTGCCTCCTCCAGAAGTTCTGGCTGCACTTTCTCCTACACCTCCTTGTATTTGCACAGCTCATCCATGGCCCAGCAAAATCGTGAGGCCTCCTTGTCAACCCCTCCTCCTGGTGCTGGCCAAAATGGCCATCCAGCAGACCAGAAGGAAGAAGTTTGATCAGGGTGGGGTGTAGAGAGGCTGCTCTAAGACTGTGGGGCCTGTTTCCATTCTTTTGTTGCTTCACGTCTCTGAGTGATGTCCACTGGCTCCTTGTATTACTTGGAGGAGTGGTGGATGTTATTCTCTGCTTGATGTCCCCCTCTGGATCCCTCATTTTGGCCCTATGAGCTTGACTCCTGTCCCTGCATTCTCCTTTTTTGTCCCTCGAACTAAGTTGTGGTCTGGGCTTTGTGGTTTCTCCACCTTGGCTCAGGGGGAGGGTCTTTAGTTTTGAGTGAGCCTACGCCTTCCCCTCCTAATACCTGCAGTAGGTACACAGCCAGCTGGTTCTTTAACAGACACCACAGTATGCTGCTGTAGATGATTCACATTAATTTGGGGATCAGAGTGTTCATAAAAGCAAAGAATTCACCTAAACATTGGGTGGACACAAGTATAATGGAGGCGGGCCCTGTCCAACCTTCACTACATTGTTTTTTCATTTCATCATTGACATATGAATTCACACAGTGCAGCACTTGAAGAACTCTGTAATATAATTTTATTATATAGGTTCTTAGAAAGTGGCACTCTTCAAAGCCCACCCCAGGGGTAGTCAATTATTTTTTGTCAAGGTCCAAATTTCTTGGTCAAGGTATAGCCAAGGTCCAGACTTCAGAGAAAATAATAAAAAAATAATGATAATAAGTAAATAAAAAAATTTGGGGGTCCATTCAAAAGCATCTGGGGGTACAGATTTGGCCCACGGTCTGCCTATTGACTACTCCTGGCCTACCCTATTGCATTTAAGCAGACAATACCCCATGCTTATTATACTTTTTAAATTCACATACACAAATATTTATCTGAAGCTCTTTAATTCTAAGCAACCTCATATTGCACAAATCACGTATCCAGCAAAAATCCATTACCACAAAATCACACTTGTCCAAGTATTTTTGATGTCCACAAAACATTTAGGACAAATTATATATTTATGCTGCAGGAAGGTAGCAAGTAGACACCACTTTATTGTAGGGAATAACCTGGATCCTAATGGATACATATCAATGACAAGAAACTACAAATTTGAACAGTAACTGATACAAATACTAGGCTTCTGTAATATAATTCCACTTACTGCTAGAACATAATCAATCATTAAATTAAGATACAGTTATTATGATTAATTGTGAATAGAAGGCAAAAATTACATTACAGTAAAAGGGTGACATAATGACCCACAACACAGAAGCTTCATAATAAACATAATAAACCACAATGGAGAAGCTTAATTGGTTTACAGTTTCAACAGACCCATAGGATGTACGGGAACCATGGGATTGTTCACTGTTTCCTTTTCTTTTTCTTAACAAAATAAATAATTTCAATGGAAAACTATTTGTTAGCAAAGATATGGTGCTGGGACAAGGACTACTGTAGATGGGCCTGATTTTTATTTATATGGCGGCCCCTTTACCCTGCTCTGGAAGTGTAAGGGGGGGGTCTTAAAGTGGCATCAGATCACATTTACACCCATTTTAAAATTATTGGGCCTGATTCTTATTTAGACATCTACTCTGCAAATGAAGG